GTGATTAAAAAGACATAACAAATGAATTGATGGACCCATCGGTCGGTCGTCGGGAAAGTGTGGCCAACAATATGTGCGACCAAAACAAGTTTGAATTCGTGATCAACACTAACGAGACATACATTAAGCCCAACGAACAGTTCAATAGTTTCAGCGATCAGTTGAACTCCAAGACCATCGTCGAGGACATAGTGTCGGCGCCGACCGCTGCCAACGCCGTGGCCGCCGGCGACCGCTCGCCGCCGGCCATCGTCTCCAAGACTGCCGACAAGTTTGTCGACTTTGCGGTCAAACAGTATCGAAACGATGGCTTCGTCTGCACTGTGGATGAAAATGACCGACAGATCTATTACTGCTATTACTGTCACCAATACATCAGTGACTTTGATCTCATCGCCGCTCATATCGATAGCGCACAACACCTGAAGGTTTGTTGATATCACTGCCGGAAGTGTTTGTCGTGTCTTATAAATGGTTTGCCTTTTGATTCGCAGAATATTCTGAACGGTATTTCGTTTGATAAGGGATTGGATAAAGAGTTTGTTGTGGAAACTGTTGCCGAAGACAAGACTAAGAAGAAATGTAATTACTATTTGTTTAATTTGTTTGCATTTTTATAATTATCATTGATTTGATTGAATGTTTGTTTTGCATATTTGTTGACCAAATTAGTGCTTAAATTGATTGATAAAGTGTTGACACGAATGCCTCTTCATCTCAAGCATTATTACTTCCGCAATGGTATCCGTCTCATGAATGTTAAGCCACCGGACGCTTACTTTTGCAAAGTTTGTCCACAAATTGTCTCTTATTTTGTTTCAATTGTTAGTGAAATGTGTTTTCATTTGCGATTAGTTTTGTAATCAAACGATTCAGGACTACAAAGATATTGAAACCCATTTGTTAATAGAGAGCCATAGACTTAGTCAACAGAAACTAAGACCAGATTTAATGCAATTAATCGATAAATCGGATGACGTTTTGCTGCGAATTGGTCTTCAATTCATTAGCGAGGATATCATATCGGATGCGATAGTGGTCTATGAGTGCGAACTTTGCAATTGCTTTGATTGTGATAATGAGAAGATGTTTTCGCACATCAAGAGCTTTAAACACCGGAAGAATATATTAGTAAATGATTTTAAAAATGAGATAAAATTAGAAATAAAATGGTTTTGTATTCGCAGAAAGAGTACGAATACGACACACAAGACTTGTCTGAGATTGATATGGAGACACATCTAAAGGAGATTCAGGAGAAACACGGCTTAAGTTGTATTCAGACGTGTAATAAAGTCAAGCGACTCAAAACCAGTCACGAATCGGAGCCAAAAGCCATTCCCACAGTAGAGATACCGTTATATGAAGTGAGAGCTAATGATAACACAGAGACGGTTCCCAACGATAGCACGCCATCAGAACCCGCAGAGAAGGACAATCCTTTCACTAGAGATGATATCCTATTAGTTGAATACGAAAGCCATAAAATCATTCAAACCTTTGAAAGCGATTCGACAGACATTTACTTCTGTTGTTATTGTGATCTGTATTACAATTCATTCAAATTGATGAGACATCACGTCAAATACGATGCCATCCATAAAGGGGTACATTGTTTTCACATTCAATTGTTGCCATTTTAGTAAAATTTGGCTTTAATTTTGTATGTTTTCTGTGTGTGATTTAGTTGACAGCAAAAGCGAGCAATTGTTCCCATGGATTGAACGACAAATTTTTGATGAGACCACTGTCCGAAGGCGACGATAAAAGTAAACGTGATTTAGTTTTGAAAGTTTTTGTTATTAAACAAAATATTTTGTCTTATATTTGGTTTAGTGCGTGAAATTGAAAGGTTAAACGCAATACCACTTGTGATAAAACATTTCTACTATAAACGGGGCATCAAATACGCGGGCAATAATAGCTATTACTGTCGGGTAAGCCTTAGCGTTACGAAACAATTTTGTGAATTTGTTTTGTTAGTAAAAAGTTGTATTTTGAAAATAGTTTTGCCAAAAAATGATCGCTTCATTCGATGCCATCGATGAGCACATGAAGAGTGAATCTCACGCTCGCATCGAAGAGAAACCCACAAAATTCAACGATATTTTGTTTCAAACAAATCAGCCGATCATTGGCTTAAAATATATTACAGAGTATTTGTGTCAAAACTCAAGACAAGCGCTCTATGAGTGCACTCTTTGCGACTATACCACCGATTTTTCTCAAATGTATATCCATTTGAGTGGTTTTACGCATCAATACAGAGCACTGGTAAATATGGACTTAATTTTTGACATCAATTGGGATCAGATGTTATATTAATTGATTTTTAACATATTATTTGTTTTTTGAATAGAAAAAAATCGCTCCAAATAACGATATTTTCCAAACCATTTGTGAGAAAGAGGTTTCATTAAATTCATCGGAAATGTTGAAAAAACAGATCATAAGAATCGAGAAGAGAATCGGTTGCGGTTTCGTTAAGAGAAGCTATGATTTTGATGAGAAAATGGCCGCAAAATTAACTCAAATTCAAACAGAGTTTGAAACGAGACGTCAGGCGAAGATTAGAGAACTAAGAGGTGATGATAATCACACCGACGACACGGCGAATGGTTTATCGGCCGAACAATTGTTATCTCAATTGAATGAAACATTTTCGGTCCGTTTGTCAAACGACGAAGAGTTAGATATTCTTATATCAATCATCACTTCATTAAAAGACAGTTTATTCGCTTATTATGGGAAACCATCGCAACCGCCAAACACCACATACTCCCCGACGGATAGCTGATAATCAATCAATTTTACCATTAAGTTTGAAAAGCACTGCATTTTATCACTTGATTTCATAATTATTCAAAAGTGTATTTTTTACAAAAAAATTACTAAAAATCTGATTTTAAACATTTATATAACAATTAAGGTATAAATAATTAAATCCATAAATAGATTGTTTTATATTTAGCAAATTTCACCAAAGAGTCCATTATTTTAAACTATCGATTGAATGAAACGCCGAATTGATGTGATTTTCCAATTCCTCGTATTTGTCGACCGAAAGCTCACATTTCTGTTCATGAAATTAATCAATGCTTTGATTCTGTTTAATCGATTTGTGATTAAGAAAAAGCAGTTGAATACAAACCACACAATAAAAGGCTTGAGAGCCGGTCCCGTCTTTTAGGCGAATGCCTGCGTTTGTCAAACAAGTCTTCAAATCTAATGAAATTGTCCGCAAATAATGTCTTCGGGCGAACGCCACCTCGAATTCGCCTGTTTTTGCAATCAATTTAATTCAATTATAACTAAACTGTAATATAAAACGTGTTAATAATTACTAATTCTGTCCGATTTGATGGTGAATTTGGCGTCTAATTCGTTGAGATTATCGCCGCATTTCATCTGACAATAAGGAAATATTGACAATTAGTTGTCATTTTGGGCGCAAAACGGGATGCGATCACTGGATATACCATTTTATGTCGGGGATCGTTAGTGTGGGCGACGCCAACCTTCTTGCAATCCAAATACATATTACAGAAAAGGCAATAAAACTTGAATTCAGCGCTCGTTTCGGTCGCTTTGATGCCCTCATTCCTGAGCCTCTCATCCACTTTATTCAGTTGTGGCGGCGATCCAACACATTCATTTGTTATGTCTTTTTAATCACAAAATTATTTTCTGTTTTCAATGTTTTTGTTTACAACACTTTAGAAATGTGTTTATCGTTACGTAATTCGTGTAAACGTTGTGTTGTATTGAAAGTTACGGCAAAACTGTTTCTTCCCATAGAGTTATGCTGTGAATGCAATTTAATGGGCATTTTTCTTCCCTCATTAAACTTTTATTCAATAAAACTTAAATTAATTAAACGATTGTATAAAAAAGTTTTTATTATTAAAATATTCACAAACTTTAATCGTTTTAATGTATACTTTTATCTAGTTTTATATCATTATATAAATAACATCTATAAATGACTGGAAAAAACGGTGAATAACATAAAAATATCAATTAATTTAATGATTAAACTAAAGTCAGTCAAAGAGTCCCTCGACATCAATCCTCGAGGGTTTGTATCCGGTGTTCAGTGAACTCATTAACATGTCTTTGTCGAAGATGTCAATCAACGCATAGTCTTTGTGTTTCATGATTCCCAACGACTGTTGAATAGTCTCTAAAAACTTGTCAAACTTAACGGCCTGTATATTGCGACACATATTGAGTTCGGTCTCAAACGGATTCTCCATCCATATGGGCAGCGATGGGTCGGGCGATGTATATGTGGTGCCGTTCAGTATGGATATGGCCTCCCATTCAAACCTTAATGTGAGCAATAACTCGAAGAACTGCGCCAACAGATCCAGAGTAGACGTTTGCGTAGCGCACGGAACGAACGCTTGCGATGAAGGGGTGAGAAATTGTCTCATCGGCGGTACTATCTTTTGCTTTTGCAATTTTATGTTGTGGTTACGACAGTTAACTTTGCTACATTTAGGTAACATGTGGTATACTCACCTGGTCAAGAAGCCGAAATTATCAAGACATTTCAATCTGTACTTAAAACAAAATTATTTTTAGTTTCAATGAGTTAAAGTAATTATCAATTACTGTGTTGTTTAGCCCATTGTCTTAACAAAAGGATCAAATCTCTGACACAGGGATTAAGACCAACACAATAGTTAAGAAACGCCGACATATAGACCCCGGAGTGGACAGAATGTGCGGATAATTCGATGGAGAGGTCGATGTCAATCGGCGCCAAATCAAAGCCAAACTTAACAATCGGTATTCTGGCTCTCAATATACGCGAGAAATGGGAATAAAATGGTATCGAGTATTGCAAGAGATCCGCTATTAAGTTCAGATGTGTCTTCAGCTTCACGCGGTCCTCCTCTCTAGACATCTGTCCGCCGGACACTTTGGGAACTAATACCAAATCCAAGTCACTGTTCGGAGTTCCCAAACCTACAAGAGTTACATACAGTACATGTGATAAGTGGTGTCGGGATTGGGAGTCGGGAACAGACAAACATACCGGCAATGGATGAACCAAATGGCAGTATTTGATAGGATTTGAAGTGTGATTGACACACGTATTGCTCTAATTGTGATACTATATAAAACCTAAGCTTAAGATCCAATTCATCCCAGTGTTTGCCATTAACCAGATATAACATCAACTCTTCGTTGGACTTATTACCAAAACATTGTCTCAAATAATTTACATTCAATTGATACGTGTCTCTCCTTCTGGACGTCATTTCGCGGATCTCCTTCTGTTCTTCGCGCTGATCACCGGCCTTATGATTGGCGGACAACACCGGCGGACACGCGTTAAGTGTGATAAACTTGAGTTGAGTGGCCATCGACGGCGACGACCGGTGTCGGGCCGTGTGCTGATCGCTGGTCTGGAACTGTCTGGTGATCTCACGGCGAAGTGTGTATCGGCGGTCATCCAACTCGACGAGAGCGCAATGATTGGCATTGAAGACCCATTTGTGGATGTGATTCACTTTGGTCTCCAAGAGTTGCGACAACGACTTGGCGTTCAGTTTGGCTAACGATTGGCACTTGTCTTCGATGAGCAGATATTTGTCGGCCCTTTCCTTCTGGCCATTCATTTGTCGCTCAAATTCGCTGAACCACTGATTGGGTGCCAATGTCTGCGAGTAGTGTTGTCGGCGGTTAACTGATCCCAAACTCTTCACATGTCGGCCACCAGTGGTTGTCAATAGTATAAGCGTTGCGTTTGTTGTCGTCGACAATGATTTCAACATATTTTATATGCTTTTCACACAAACGGCTCATTAATTGACGCAAATATTCACATAATTTATTCATTCATTTCATAAATTGACCGCAAATTCAATACAAATGACAATAAAGTTATGAAATACTGACAAAACATGTGCTAAACGTTTATT